AAATCAGTAGGAAAATCTTTGGAAAATTCGTTGGAAATCTGTTGGAAACACGACAGTAGAAAACAAAATCAGTCGAAGATCAGTAAGAAAAACGAATAAGAGAACACTAGGAAAATCAGTATAAATGTGTTTCCACCAGTCCAGACGTTCACAGCCATGGACGGCTATACCATATACACCGAGTCAACTCATAGTAATTCCCTTCGTATTCCACTGGGCCGAGTCAGATAGCTTCTACCTAGGAATAATTGCAAAGTGGTACGGACATCTGAGTTACGCGTACGTGAAACGTATGAGGCAACTTATCACTCCAAGACAGAAAATTAGAAGTTTAGAGAAGGCGAACATTATCTTGATTGAGTTGCAAAATGAGTCAACCTCTTCAGATCGAGTACCAACCATTATATATCTTATATATCCTCGTAATAAGCAACAAATACTCTCTCCCTAAAACATCATTCAGTAATCTTCTATTCATAGTGGAGATTAGGTCTTGTAGTTGCTGAAGAATATTTTAAGTCATGTTATCTATCCTAGACTGCCACGTAATACGCACTTGCCCAGTTTACTACGATCGTAACATCTCCAAGTTTAAAGTCAATCGTTATCTCTCCTATATATCTTCGTAATATACACTTCCTCATATACGGTGATGGTAACCACTTTAAGTTTAATGTCATTCATTATCTGTACTACATAAGCTCATTATATGCATTTAGTAACCCCTCTCTTTACGTCAGTTTGTATTTTATGGACAATACCATAGAATAATGGCAACACTCTCTGTCTCTCTTTTACACACACACATATATATATATATATATATATATATATATATATATATATATATATATATATATATATATATATATATATTGTTCTACTTGTACAAAACGTGTAATAGCAGAATTGTTCAATTCTTGGATTAATCTTATATGTTAAAAATGATTAAAGATATCTTACTGGATATCTCAGAGATTTTTATAATACTATTGGACTATACGTTGAATAATGAGAATTTATAAGTACTCTCCCAGCTTAACAGAAAAATCGTGATGAAATCGATCATGTTCATCTTTATTAATCATAGCTAAGAATCGGAACCTCATGGAGGATTGAAATTCAAATATGGAAAATGATACCAGAACAATATATATATATATATATATATATGTAAATTATTCCTGGATAATTTTCCAACTTATTCAAGATGATCTTCGCTCTCTCTAACCTTCTAACTTTCTGTCCTGGATTGATAAGGTGTCTTACACGTTCCATGTATGATTACTTTTTCAGGTTTTATTCACCGTTCTTTGGATTGTCATAGGTAAAACTCATCTCTAACGTGCCAAAAGTCTCATCGATTGAGTTGGATCTTTTCAAATTAATCGCTTTAGCTCTAAGTTGAAATGATAATCCCTCTTCCTGTTGTGATCTTCTGATCCAGTTTTCCTCTCTACTGTTCTCTCTTTTTTAATCTTTTTCACCCTTCTCTTGATGCTTGTTGAATTGACGGAAGCTAAAATATGAATATTAGTACCATTAATGAAGGCCTGAATGATTTTCCACTAAATATTTTTCAATAATAGTTAATAAAAATGTACACGCTAACACCCCTGTCTAAATGATTGGATTTCTCTGTATCCTCGGAAAAACAAAAAGTTATGAATTGTATGTGCGTTTAAAACTCAGTAAATTTAAAAATAAGTTATTCCAAAATTCGCTAGAAGATGAAACAGAACTAATGCTTTTAATTTAATTATATAATTAAATTTGAAGTTTTTTCAGCTTCGGTTTTTGAAAACATGTTAATTCTGTGGAGCGAAGAAATCATATTTTAAATCAGTTAATTTATAATATTTATTCTCTAAATTTACATTGAGCACTGTTTTGTAAAAATAAAAATATCAATAAGAACACCGGATTATATATCTTACTGTTCATTCTTTTTTATTATGATATATATATATATATATATATATATATATATATATATATATATATATATATCAAACAGAGGGTGTCTGTCTGACTGTCTGTCTGTGTGATACCTTTTCACTCGAGATTAACCCCACCGATTATGATCAAACTCAGCACATACGTCCTATAATTTAAGGGATAGGTTTGTAGTGTAAAAAAGTCGATAATTCTTTTAAAAAAATCAATAATCCATAATGCCGATCACAATTGGATAAATTGAACGTTTTGCTCCGATTTCGTTTAAATTCGGTATGTCGGTTTACTTACATCATGACGAGCTCAACGATTCCGCGTTTTTATTTCTACGCGAAAAACAAAAAATCGATAACTCCCTCAATTTTCAAGCAATCTAATACAAACTTCACTCAATTGTAACCAACGGTAAGTTGATTGTTTAACAGTCATTTAACTTAATCATTGAATCCACCCATACAGTGAAAATCCGCGTAAATATGGCGATTTTTACTGGTTTCTTTCTTATTTCTTAACCTATTGCTTTATAAATGTATCCTCTTTTACATTCCTACTAGCACACTCACAAAATGAATTTCAAAAACTCCAAAATAATTGTGGCCCGATGTGTGTCTTCATGTTGCCTCTTTTACCCCTTCATGTCCTCGGCTAATTTTGATTGAATAAATACAGACTACTTCTGTTATATCTGTAATTGCTTTAATTTAAAATGTTTTTGTTTAATGACAGTACTTTAAAGTAATTGAAGATAGTTTATCGTCATACCCAGGACGTGGATGTAGTTTTATCGTCATACCCAAGACGAGTAAAACACTTGTTGATACGAATAAGGCACATGAATGTAAAATTGCCTACACGTATATTTATATCCCTGGGTATAAAGGAAGCTAGCACCAATGATAACAATTGTTATTTTCAAGACAAAACTAAAGTATACCCGGATATATTATGTGAGGCACTACATCTAAGCAGTTATTCGACTAACTTACGGGACAGAGTAGCAGTTGTATATTTAACATGTTTATGCATAAGAAGATTGTTTTTTTATCGGGCAAAGTTGTTTTTTTTTTACATGAATAATTGAATTCATTACTTTAATAATACCTCACGATTTCTCTAAAGAGATGTTAACAAAATTTAGTTTTTCTCACTGCCGCAAATGTTGAGCGCCTTGTTAGGATGGAGGTGACATCAGCAACAGAATGACTGGTTACAAGAAGCATCAAATTATCTGTTTCATTTCTCTAAAACTAAACTCAAATACGATATTTTATTTATTTTATTTTTTTTTGTACGAAAAGTGAATCAAAGATATGCATTTAGTTGCTGAAAGAAGATGTACGCAGCTTTAGTTTCTGGATTATTGTTTTGGAATTTTTCCACAACGGGAAAAATGGACGCCCGAAGTCATTGCTGCACACGACATTCAAGCTGCATTTTTTTTTTAAGAAACAGACATTTTATCCATACGCGCGTGATAAAAAATAAAGAAAACTTCTATCAAGTCCAAGAATGAAAAAAAAAAGCTATTAAAGCTCAAAAAATGTTAAAAATAAGAAGAAAATGGAAGTCATCCTTTTTTTCTAATGAAATTTATTAATTCAAACACGCTTATCTTTTTTCTATTTTTTCTATTTCTCTTTCTACCTTTCTTTCTCTTTCTACCTTTCTCTCTCTTTTTCCTTCTCTCTCTCTTTCTCCTTGTGTGTGCGTGTCTGTCTCTCTCTCTCTCTCTCTATTTTGGCAAGAGACATTTTCCCTTATAGCTTTCAACTCACTTCTATTCCCTCTCCCATTTTCTGCGACTATATATTCTCCAAATATTGCAATTTTCCTTTTCACTTCTCATCCCCTCTCTCTCTCTCTCTCTCTCTCTATATATATATATATATATATATATATATATATATATATATATGTAGAGAGCGAGAAGTGAGAGAAGATTGCAATATTTGTATATATATATATATATATATATATATATATATATATATATATCCTGGTATTTGTTGATGTTTTATCGTAATTGGCTTCATGCCAGGCAAAAGACAATTTGTTTTCTCTTTTTGCATGAAATTTTGCATTGGTGTTTATTTGGCCCAATCAAAATTCAGGGATAGCCAAACAATTTTTAAGCAGATTTGGCAGTCCCCAGGGATATCCTTTTGGTGGGAATGTCCACAATTGGTCAGTGCTGCATTCATGGTGAGCACCTGTTTCATGGACTGGATGTGATGCGTGGAGCCTATTAGAAGAAAATAACTTTTTTTTTTTTAATTTTGTACTCTGCCTTCATAGCGTTCACATCCAGCTGGCATGCAGAATGAATCAGAAAAGGTTCTAATTGCAACAAAGTATAACACAGTGTTATGTGTCTCATTTTATGAAAGTTATTTGTGTGATTTTCCTTTTTGTGGTTTCTATAAGCTTTCCTCTCTGCATTTTATACGAAGGATTCTGATGTAAAAGTCAGAAGAAAATTTATTTTTTTCTTGTTTCTTCTGGACATGTGAGACATTGTTTACTCAGAATTACTTCAAATGAGCATTAACAAAGGTAGCGTAAAATTATAGCTGGTTTAGATGCCAAGGCTCAATTGCTTGTTGCACTGTTAACGTCTTGTATAAAAACTTGTCCTTGGGTTGAGGTACGTTAAACATATTTTTTTTACTCATTTCAACTCAAGCATATATATATATATATATATATATATATATATATATATATATAATTGAATAAAGAAACAACACTTAGAGGCGACAGTCTGTTTCATGCTATATGCAATCGTCAGGCCAGGAATGCTGTTATTTTTCTCGGCTATTTATATATATACGGGTCAGTGGTGCATTGTGGGTAGTCTATTCTGCCGGTTATTTTACCAATGTTTTATATTTGTATTTATATTTGTAAATTTGTTTAATCACTATATATTGACATTTATCCCATAAATATAGATCTAAAATTTCTTCATATATATATATATATATATATATATACTTCTCTACATGTTTTACCCCTCTCTCTTTTTTCAATGTGTCTTTCCCTGCATGCGTCCTGAAATTTTCTCTTTATCACTTTATACATGCTTCCTTTTCTCTCTTTTACATTATATTCCTCTCTCTTTCTGTAGACATGACACGCTTATCTCTCCTTTTATTTACGTTTATCTTTCATTAGTTTCTCTCGTGTTCATTGAAGTACGAATGTAGGTCTTGAGAATGTAAGCTATTTTCTGTCCTGGACCGAGTCCGTTGCATTATGGGACCAATATGCTAAAGGTAGTCTGTCTCGGCCGCTTGTGAAAGACGAATAAAATATCATATCACCGGGAGATCCCTTCAAATAGTATAAAAAGAACAAGGTATATATTCTTTATTGTACTTATTAAGTAACTTTTACCATTTACATGTCAGTGAAGGAGAGAAAAATGAATGAAAAAAACTAGCATCTATAGTCCTGCGTGTTCGCTACAAGACAAAGTTTCTCACGCAAAACATGTGGAGAAAAGCTTTTTTTTAATGATAATTCGTTTTGCTCAGCAATTCTCGGTTGAATAAAGAGACACTCAAACCGGCTACAATGACTTTGATAAAACAGCATTGAATGGCTTCTCTCTGTCTTTTTATTATGACTTCCTATTGTATGGTCATTTGTGACATTGCGTCGTTCCAGAAAGGTTTGTTTCTCTTCAGAGTCCATTTTGCACATTTACAAATCTACCATTCGTCCGTGCATTGAATACTGTTGCCATATCTGATCTGGTGCTCCTGCTATTCATCTCGAGGTTTTTGACAAAATCCAAATAAGGATCTGTAATATAAACGATCGTATCTTGGCATCTCGACTTCAGTCACTTTCTCACCGACGTGTCGTGGCTTCTCTTCAGGTATTTTGATGGGGACTTTTTACGTTATGCCTCAACTACATTATTTTAAGTGGGCTACTAGACTAGCATATAGTTCCCACCCGTTTACCGTTGAAATAGCTAAATGCCACCGCCACTTTAGCTTTCTTTTACTTCCACTATTTTTGTGCTAACCGATGCCAGTCTTCGAATCAAGATTTACAACCTTCTCTCAAAAGGATACTAAAGGGCTATCAGATCGCTCACACATTCTGATATACGGGGATAATAAATAAAGCAATGCTCAACTGTCTATTGCTTATTTGTTTTGTTTTTTATTATCAGATGAGGATTTTCATACCGAGGATTTATCTTTCGGCCTCTCAGATATTAGATGTTTATATATCGTATTTTAGAAATACATTATATTTCCAGCAACTCGTTAGATTTTCTTCTTGTCTTTCTAACATGTCACAAGATGGTTCCATGTTACTTTCATTTCTAACCTTAATCATTAAACTTGAACTTATACATGCATACCCATAATGTTACACTATCTCTGTCTCTAGAGTCATCATTCATTTTCACTCTCTCTCTCTCTCTCTGTCTCTCTCTCTCCCTCTATTCTTTTTTCTTCCTCTTTCCGCTCTCTTTCTTTGTAGTCCTCCTCGTATTTTCCTTTCTCGCTTCCAGCCTACTCCCATATATCTTCTCTCCCTTTCTTTCTCTCTTAAATAATATATTTATTTTCTTACTCTCCTCCTCTCACCCCTTGTTATCTTGCCAATGTTCATGATTCTTAATGTTTCTCAAAATACGAGGCCGAAAGGGAAACAGAAATATCCTGATTACAGAATGTGTAGGCTGGTCCAAAAGAGCAAAGCTTACCGTATCAGAACCTTAACGACCCGCACAGAGTGGACGTCGAATCCTGACAATAGTGGATGGTTTAATTTTTGATATAAGATCAGCTGCCAGAACAGAATAAGGAAAATGTTTTGCCGCACCAAGTTTTCTTAGTAAGAAAAGGCCACATGTGTAGTGTTTTGTAGTTGTGTTAGCGGTTGATATTCATTCTCTCTCCATGAAATTTTCTACTATTTTACATAACCTTTTCCTGAAATAAAACGATGAAAAAATTCTGAAAAAAATTGTTCGTCCGTGATTCTTTCAGTATGTGATGCAGAGCTGGTGCCTGAGGAATTGCCGATAGACCAGGACAAAGCACAGAGTATACGCAAAGCAGCAACCATTATGGCTATTCTTTTAAGATGAACGACTAGCTAAGAAAGTGAGCATTTTAAACATTTAAGTATTTACTTATTCCTGAGCGCCGACCTCAGAGTCTGATTGGTAAATACCTGACTTTTTCAAACAGGCAGTTTAATAATTATTTCGCTAAACTGAATCAAAAACAGATTATTGGAGTGATGCAGCCGATAAATAACTAAATCATAATACAGGCGAATTGTATGAGCTGGGCTTGATATAAATTTGCTACAATAAGTGACGCTTTTACAGAAACAATTATCTCGCTTTCTCTCTCCATCATACTCGCTCTCATACTATCTATGTATCTATCTATCTATCTTTTTTCCTCTGTCTGTCTGTCTGTATGTCCGTCTCCCCCCCTCTCTCTTTCTCTCTTTCTCTCTCTCAGCTGTTTTTCTCTTTTATCTGTGGTCTCTTCAGGATTGTTACGTATCCCCCTCACAGCTCGAAGCAACAGTAGACATTTTACCATCAGTTTTGACCACCTGTTTTTGTTACCACACAATTTTGCCATTCCCTTTTTGCCTCGAATTTGCTATATATTTACACAAATTCATTAGAAGTTTTACTTGATGTTTCACTCTACCTCTCTTGACATCACTATATCCTGTAGGTTTCAAATTCTCCAAGCCTCTGGAAAGGTTTTGAATAAAGAAAATAAATAAAACTTAAAGATAAGGAAGAATCGTATCGTAACTGATAAACAACCACACACGCTTTTGGAAATATATCGTATTTCTGAATTACTATGTATTTGCCAGAGTCAGCTGACGGTAACAAATCGTGTAAGAATAAAAAAGAAAATAAGCAGGAGGTAGCGGTTTTTTTTTTTGTCCGTGAATTGACTAATCAGCAACTAGTGAGATTTACTATAGAAAAAATTGTTCTGTCAACTATAATTATTGAGTAAAGTGTTGCGAGTGGATACAAGCAGATGTGCGTAGGTAAGTTTTCTCATTCACTGACAGTTAGTCGATGAGTTTTTTTTTTTTTTTCTGCTGGAGACAATAAAATAGGCCAATAAAGACTCCACTAAGTTGTGCCATTTATTATTACAAAAAATCCTTCCACCAGGTGAAAAAACAGATTTTGTCTTCCCGTGAAAAATTGAAACTCTGGGTTATTGGCCTGACGACAATCGCAGCAATCCAACTAATGTTTCTCGCCGGACATCAGTTACAACCACTTACGATGTGGTGACACTTGAATATATTTTTCATTATTATATGTCACAGAAATTTCAACCATTTAAGTATATTTATAGTTCTCATTCTCCTAAAGACATTGTAGTTTCTCTCATGTTCAGTCCATTCCTGTTTAGAAACATATCTGTCTATTTTTTCTGAGGTGACATATTATAATTATTTGCACGATTTGCATTGTCCAGACTGCTGTCCTCATCTTTATTGTCATATTCTCGGCGTTTCGGCCGTTGTAAAATCTGACATTGTTCAGGATCTGTCTATATTTCTGAGGTGAGGTATTATAACTGTTTATTCTATTTACATTTTTCGGACTGTTGTCTACACTTTTATTGCTATATTCTCAACGTTTCGGCCGTTATACGCTGCAGGCTTCTTCAGGGCCTGTCTATATTTCTGATATGAAGCATTGTACATATTTACATCGGCGTGAATATAAAAATAAAGATGAAGACAATAATCTGAACAACGTAAGTAAAGCTAATAGAAACCTATTGGTAGGAAATTTTGTCTATTCCGATAAAACCATTTGCTGCGTTCAAAGTGGTAACCAAATTAGACTTTGGATCTCATCTTGGAAGTATAGGTAAGTAATAAAAGTAGGCAATATATGAAAGATGAATAAAATAGCTGCCAATCTTTAAAGAACATATCTAAGAAAATATTTTAAATGTATTATATGAAATAATGATCTAATTACGACAATTAATCAAATACTCTTACCGTAATTGTTCTGTTTATTTTTAATCATTTAAGCCCCCTCCCCCGCCAAAAAAAAAACGGGAAAAATGCCACTATGCCACAGGGGTTTACAAAGAGTTAAAACGAAGGAAAAACTTTAGTGATGAAAAAACAACAAAGAAGTTACCAGGAAGACAGAGGATGGTGTTTGGCTTTGCATTTAAATTTTTGAAGATTGTAGTTGGCAGAGAAGCAAGAAAACTGAAGGGATCTCCATAGGCGACAAGTACGAGAAAGAAGAACCTTCACAATATAACAGATTTTTGTACCTAGCTAGGGAAACAGTAAAACGGTGAGACCTAATTGCCAATCTAGTTGACGCTTAAATTCGTGCAGTCACTAACGGGAAAATCTCATCAGCACAATATTCATGCAAATATTTCTGGAGAAGATAGAAGGAAGCTACGCCCTGACGGTGATAAAGTGACTGGAGTCGAAATGTCGTGTTAAGATCGATTCATTAAACATCCTTCTTTGAATACATAATACGCTTTAATTACTTCAACACCTCTTGCCTTTAACATATTCAGTAAGGCGTAAATTATTCAAGCCCTCTTTACTAATAAGTGTTTAACTTACTCGAAACAGGAACTCTGGACATTTCTGCATTCTACAATTGAATTCAAATTTACTTACACATTTAGAATAAAATCATAAAGGTTTAGACGCCAAGAAATCTTTTAATGCTGTTTCTGCATCTTATTTGTAAAGAAATGTCTTTTGACTTAAGGAAGATGTTTGAAAAAGTGTTAGCAGGCGAGAGATTACAGCGAAGTTGCTGAAGATGTGGCAAAGTCTCGTATCCCAAGTCGTTGAGCTTCTATGATGTCATCCATTTTTGTTATGGTCCAAGGTCCTTGTACCACGGTGATAGTCCAAGGTAGAACCAATAAAGAATAAAACCATAAAGGTTTAGACGCCAAGAAATCTTTGAATACTGTTTCTGCATTTTATTTGTAAAGGAATGTTTTTTGAATTAAAGATGCTTGAAAAAGTGTTAGCAGGCGAGAGGTCAAAGCGAAGTTGCTATAAATGTGACAAAGTCTCGGATCCCAAGTCGGTGAGCTTCTATGATGTCATCCATTATTGTTATGGTCCGGTTCCTTGTACCACGATGATAGTCCAATGTAGAACTAATAAAGATATGGATGTGGAATAACACAGATATATTACAAACAGGAATATACAGAGAAGTAGGAAGTGTTAGTACGAACAATCAGGTTTAGTAGTAATTGTCTGAACGCGACTCGGTCTGCTTCTGACTCGACTGACAGACTCGCTCGCTCTGACTGTCAGACTCCTGACGGACTTCACTCCAGACTTCAGACTGAACCTCAGACTTCAGACGGAACAGTATTTAGTCAAACCCCCCACGAGGGCATCATGTGGCACAAGGCCGGTTTAACGTGGGATGTCCGAGCCCGTGCGCTCGTCCAAAAATATGCCCTTTGAACCCGTATAAACGGATTCAGGGTCGGTTTACCTCCCGAAAGAGACTCTGCCCTTCGGCGTAGCCTCGTTCAGGTTCCTCCCGCCGAAGGCAGAGAGTTCAACCGATCAGCCGGTCAGCCGATCGCCCGATTTCCGGACTGAACTCCCTGCTTCCTCTTGAGGCGCAGTATTTGTTACGTATGGAATAGTCCATTATGTTATGATGGGTAAGGTCCCGTAACAATTATGAAGCAGTACTGTAACTCGTCCCCTAACCAGTACCATTTGTAATTTAACTTCACTGAATGCACATTTCATCAAAAGTTACTAGCAGTAAACATCGGTAATGAAAGCTTTAACGAATAAAACCAATGGTCGACTAATCGACAGTCACAAAAATTTTCTGTTAAGCAATTTCGGTTTTGTGAAGTGTCTGGGTTCTTCGTTATGACCAAGCCATTAATGAGATCGTTTACGATTATAATAAAGGATCCATTTCTCATCACAAATCGATATTCGATAAAGACATAGATTATTAGAATTTCCAAGATGCAGTATCGAACATACTTCTAAATATTAGGCGACTTTATCCCATTTCTTCACTTTGCCAATATTTTTCAAATGGTCCAATACGGTCGAAATGCTGCCACAGATTAGCTTAGATATTTATCTGACTCCTTGACATGGGATTTGTACGACTAATTTTTCCAGATACTTGAATAAGTGTTTTAGGGCGAAAGATCAACGCAGAGTTGCTGTGGATGTGACAAAGTCTCGTAACCAAGTCGGTGAGATTCTGTGATGTCATTCAATATGAAGCAGAACCGAAACTAGTCACACCACTAGTTCCGGTTGTAATTTAACTTAGCAGGATCTGAATTTCATCCAGTTGCTAAAAGTAAACATCGCCATTTGATGCTGCTTTGATTAAATTCCAGAAAGCTGTAATGGCCAACACTAATGGCGGATTACCCGACAATTACCAAAATCTTCTGTTGCACAATTTTGGTTTTGGAATGTGTTTGGTTCCTTCGTCATGATCAAGCCATTAAGCCGATCGTTTACGATTATCATAAAGGATGCATTTCACATTACAGATCGATATTCGATAAAGACAGATTATTCGATTTTCACAGATGCATCATCGAACATACTTCTAAAGATCGAATACTTTCAGTTTTTGTGGGACGTATTTATCGTGTTTTTTCACTTTGCCAATTGTCTTGAGATAGTTTGATAACGTCGAAATGCTGCCATTCATTACCTTAGATATTTCTCTGACTCTTTCATGTGGGATTTGTACGATTACTTTTTTTTTCCAGATGTTGATTGTAGATCGAGGATTGACATCGTGTACCAACTTGATTTTTCTGACTGCGGAACTTCAGAACCTATCACCGTGTGGTCAGATCCGGTCACAATTGGATCCTTCACTCCATGATCTGTTAATGATGACCAATCTTGAAATCATTCAAAAAATTTAAAAAATACCATTTTTTTCATGTTCAAGATGACGGATATATAATTTTTCATATTAAAGACTAAGAAAAATTGATATAAAATTAAAGTGGACATTTTAATTATTTGGAATGAGTAATATATTTTGAATATATTTATCATAATATATCAGAAAATAATTCAAAGGATGATTGCAAAATCTGATATTTCTTTTCTGTACAAGATAATAGTCTCCATTTTCTTTGAAACTTCGGCGTTTCTTATATATAAAGTCAATAGTTTTCTCAGTATCCATCCGTGGTAATAAAATTTCTATCTCTTCTAATCTCTGCTTTCTCCGACAGGAATTTGTCTTTGTTCCCCCGACACATAGAAGGAAATATAGTACATAACAGGTAATCACTCTTGTCTTTGTCCTTTTGCAAACGATTAATAGGCCCTACCCACTTGATTACTTCGCAATATTTCAGCTTCTTTTCAAATAACTCTTCAGATCATATTACATTATCACTTTTTTCTTTCTTTTTTTCCTTTCTTTCTTTTTTCTTTCTTTCTTTTTTCTTTCTTTTTTTCCTTTCTTTCTTTTTTCTTTCTTTCTTTTTTCTTTCTTTCTTTTTTCTTTCTTTATTGCGTGTGAATGCAACCTGTTCTTAACAGTAGCTTCCGAAGTGTCATCTGGACTTCTACTTTTCATCTCTTTTTCTGACGGGCGTGCTTCCATCATGCAACATCCAAGAATGAATCACCATGTGAACATCTAAACTTGGAGACGTGCGGTCAGGGAGGGCAACGAAAGATCGCCGTTGATTTATCAGTGCATCTTGCTACACGTGGTGATCGACATCTTGTCAGGAAGTTCACATAACCAATGATGTTTAGCATGACAGAATAGTTGCCGTCTGTTTTTCACTATTCCATTTCTTGGTATTAGAGTCTCGTTTTGTTTGCGATATATTCTAGCGGTCCGTTTCCCAATCGTGTCCAGGTGAATATTTGTTGACGAGGAGATTTGGTATTAGACTATATTTTGGTCTTTGAGCAAAAAGAAGTCTTTCATTTTGACTTTTTTTCGTTTTATATTTCATTATATTATTAACAGTGTAATTATATGTCTGCGCCTTCGTGTGTGACCTTATAACTACCACTATAAACCCATTCCAGAAAGCATGGTTTTCATCAGATTTTTATTCCGTCGTTTATCTTATATAACACACACACACACACACACACACACACACACACACACACATATATATATGTGTGTGTGTGTCTGTGTCTGTGTGTGTGTGTGTCTGTGTGCGTTTGGGTGTGTGTCTGTGTCTGTGTGTGCATAATATAAAATATAATATAAAATATATATATATGTGTGTGTGTTTGTGTGTGTATGTGTATAATATAAATTATATATATATATATATATATATATATATATATGTGTGTTTGTGTGTGTGTGTTTGATTTTATACCTACGTCTATAAACCCATTCCAGAAAACATGGTTTTTATCACATTTTTATTCCATCGTCTATCTTATATATAATATATATGTGTGTGTTTGTGTTTGTGTGTTCTTTGTCATACGCTTTTATATAATATTGGCTTTTTTATAGACGTCCTCTACACTGACATAGGGATATTTGTCACTGGATCTCTATCAGTTCAAGAGCGTTTAGAATTTCCAGTTAAATTTTGTTATTTCAGAAAATGGCAAAGATATTTTTTTGTATATATGTTCTGTTATGCAAAATAGGTACCAGGAACTTGGTCTACACATCAATCCTTAATTTAAAAAAAAAAAACAGCAGGCTTTATTGCCTTACTCTTTCCTGCCACAACATTACAGTACCTCATGAGTAATTCTCCATTCAAGAATCTTGATGTGAAATTTCTTACAAGGCTATTTATTTAAATAGTGTTTAATATGATATGATAATTATGCCCCATACTATATATAATTATGCCCCATACTATATACGTTTACCCTGTGGTTTAAATAATATACAGATTCCACAATATCTTCATTCGTGCTTTTTTCACCGCATGGAAGGATGTTCTCTTTATTCAGTGTTTATAAACATGGAATCTGTAAATAGAAACATAGCTTCAGTCTTAGAGAATGAATTTAATGTCAGACATTTTTGTTTCTGAGTATTATTTACTTGGTTTCCGCCGAGGGAAATTAAGATTAAAGAAACCGTCACCACTAATAAGATTTGATAAACGGTCATCTAATAAAGATCCAAGATCAAATTACTAATTGTTTAATAATGTCCGTAAACTGACGGACTGTTAAGTTGAGGCGACAAGAAAGCAGAACTAAAATGAGAAAAATACTGTTGCAAATATATATGATGCTTGCAATGCGTCATCTAATAAAGATTTACGTCAATATTACTGATGGTCATAGAATGAAGGTTTGAGTAGTTGAAATGAAAGTCTAGTAGAATGAAAGCAGTAGTAATGGTCAAAATAGCCGTTTCCCTACAAGGAAACTTTTAGCATTCGTTGACCAACCAGCCAGTTCTGCTTTCGGGTGAAATTTATAAAATATCTCTATTAAAATAAGACAAGAACAGATGGCACAGTGGATAAAGGTGTTAGTTAGTGACAGGACTCAAACAGTGTGAGTTCAATACTTGGTTAAGGCAGTGGAGAAATTGGAGAGGGGAATTAACAGGAGATAACTGACATCCATTAAAACATGGAACTAGAACAATCTACCACAGTGAGTGAAATAAAGGGTTCAGTTCGACATTCCAACCACCTGAAGAAGGCCTGGGCGTACAACGGCAGAAATGTTGTAATATATATGGCGACAAAGATGAGGACAATAGGCCGAATAATGTAAATAGTCTACATAATACCTCATCTCAGAAATATAGACAGATACTGAAGGGCCGAAACTTTGTGATAAATATGGCGACAGAAATGAGGACAATAGTCCGAATCATGTAAATAGTGTACATAATACCTCATCTCAGAAATATAGACAGATACTAAAATGCTTTTTTTTTACGAAAAAAGCTTTCAGTAGCTGTTATTGCTCTTTCCATTATCGACGGGAGTTTCCTTCCTAATCTTTTATTTGAAGTGGTGTGGAAAGTTAACATTTTGATTATGTCATTATTTTCTCTTCGAGTTATTTGTCCTATACATTTTAGTTAGTTTTAATGTTGATTGGCTTCAAGTGATGTTGATGTTATTTGGTACAGTTCTTTACTTAAGATTCTGTATCACTAGTCTATAATGTTCAAAGAAGGATAACCTTTGGCAAGACCTTATGTCTTTACTCACTCACAAGCCTTTTTTTCACCATTGATATTAGGAAGGCTTTCTATACAGCTGAGAGTTTGGATATTTTTGAACAGGTTTGGCACCATACGTGGCTTCTATATGGAAGTCTCGATTTAAGAATATGAGTTTTCAAGTGGATGTTTTAGTTTCGTAGCAATTTATAGAGTTGGGGTAACTATCTTTGGTACAGCCTATTTTATATTCAATTTCTTTTTTCCTCTATGATGAATTTATTATAACTGATCCATATAAGAAAGAAATTAATAAATGCCTGAGAATTTTCAAGTAAAATCAACTAATATAATGATGAAAGTAACGTTAATAAAAAAAATCCTTGCCTACAATGAACCTTTTAATGGGAATTTAGTATTATCGATTAAATAATTACTTACTAACACGTTTCCTATAAACATTACATTGATGTCGATTGATTGAGATGTCTATAAAATGATGCATTGCTGGATTTTGCAGTTAAGATATTATTTTTGGTAAAAATTATTTGCTTAAAACAATTTACATTGTTAGGATTAGTGCTCATCTTTGTTGCCATATTCACGGAGTTTTGGCCTTTGTACCCTCCGGCCTTCTTCTGGTAACTGGAATTTCAAACTGCACCATTTATTACATTCTCTCGGGTAGGTTGTTCTAGTTCCACGTGCCATGCCTCTTCTCAGTATCAGTTATCTGCTTTTAACTCAAATATCCAATTTTTTGTTCACCTCAGATGTAGCCCGGCAATGAACTCACAATTATTTGGGTCAAGTCAGGAGATTCAACCAAAGCTTTTATCCACTGGGCCAGGTTAATTTCGAAATTCCAATCACCTGACAAAGGCGGAAGCGGGCAACAACCGAAACATCGTGAATATGTCAACAAAGATGAGGTCAGCAGTTTGAACAGTGTAAATCGTGTAAATAATTACAATGTCTCATCTCTATAATATAGATAGATATTAAAACTTCATTTATAATTGTCGTTTTTTTGTTTTAGCATTTAAATTCGAAAAAGGAAATTAAAATCACATAATAATGAGACTATACTTCAGCGAAAGGAATTAAGTTTTCTGTCAGCATTTTATGTTTATTTTAAGTTAGATATCAAATATTTGGTTCGTTAAATATTAATTTCCCGGATGTCAGGTCGTGTTTAATATGACGCTGTGAATATATCAATGTTATACTACTTCTTTGTCAACACGATGTCAGCGGTAAAATAAAAACAAAAGTATATATATATATATTTTTTTAATTTCAAGCTAAAACTATGATTTGTTTTTATTTACAGTATATACAGAAAGAAACTGCATTCCAAGAAATGCATTTTCTCTGTTATCTGATTCTTTTTTCGACATTTTTTTTCGTTTTGCTGAAACTTGTCAAGACGAAGCATTTGATATGCATCATAACTCTCTTGGCTTTCGCCGTCGAGTTTATTTCTAAGAAGTCATTATATCAAAAGAAATAAACACATACACACACAAAGTACACACAGGTATGTATGTATATATATATATATATATATATATATATATATATATATATATATATATATATATATATTGTCTCTGTGTGTGCATATATATATATATATATTTGTCTTTGTGTGTGCATATATATATATATATATATATATATATATAGGGTGCGGCAGAAATACTTTCCACACAATTGTAAGAAATTTGTAACCCTGGCATCATCAACTACCTAATGTCATACCTTTATGCGTGAAGTATTTCTGCCGTACCCTATCTATCTATCTATCTATCTATCTATCTATCTATCTATCTATCTATATATATATATATATATATATATATATATATAGCAATCTTTTATCTATCTCTATTTATATCTTTATCTATCTATATTTATATATATATATATACAGACGCATATATATATATGTGTGTGTGTGTGTGCATCAAACAATCGCCACTAGTTGTTGACATGTTCACTTTTATAATTTCTATTTACATACGCTCTATCCATGATATAAGCCAACTCTTCCCACAGATAGAGCATAGAATATAAAACTATATTTCATTCCATATATATATATATATATATATATATATATATATATATATAGTCGACTCTCCCGTCGAATTCGACGTATGAGGCTCAAGCAGATCAGTTCCCAGGAAACCGACAGTCCGACACCGGCACATGAGATTTGATTATAGTGGTGAAGGTTTCGTGCAGGACCATCCACACTTTTTGAAGGGACGAATACAGAGACCTGGTGCACTAAGTGCCACAAGGTTCCCAAACGACCCTCCGCAGGTTTTGAATTCAGAGTTGTCCTTCTCCTAGATCAGTTGCCATCAAAGGTTTTAGAACCCAGTCTGTCCTGCTATTTACT